ACAAATCACACTAGGGACATCCGATGCAACACGGTAATTTCCATTCCTTCGGCATTCGGAGGCGAACTATTTCCGGCGGCATACCCAGCGGGGGGAAATGTAATCAAGTCAGTGATTCCCCGGGACTGTAAGATCGTCCGGAAAAGCAGTGCACTGCCAGAACTATTCAACCTTAAGCTAGTCGAGGCAAATTATAAAGGGGACCCTCAGATGTGTGCGATAAAAGAACTGGTGGAAAGTAAGGACCCGGAATTGGAGAAGAAGGTCAGAGCAATGGGTGCCTACCTCGTACAGCACACACATGATTTCCATGTGCGGGAGAATTGCCTGTGGATGGACGAACGACTCGTCATCCCCATACCACTCAGGAAAGCAGTGGTGAATCGATTACATTGTTTTCACCACGGTCGCTCGAATATGTTCGATGCAGCAAGAGATGTCTGGTTCCCCTATCTCCACCGGAGTTTAGTTGCAGCTGCGGATGGGTGCAAGGAATGCACGGATGCAGGTAAAAGCATTAAACCATTATGCGCTAAAGGTGACGTTGGGAAAGTCTATGAACCACGGGAGCCGAATGAATGTCTACAGCTAGATTTTTGGGGCCCGATTAGATATCTAAGTGAATCGAGTAAATATGTTTTGGTAGCGGTTGATCGATTCTCACGCTGGCCCTCTGCAATGATCTGCGGGAATAATAAAAGCGATAAGGTCCTTAAGTTTATTAAATAAAACATATCTCAACATGGTGTCCCTAGGAAAATTTTTATGGACCAAGGATCAAGTTTCACATCGAATGCGGTTAAATCATTTTGTAATTCCGAAGGAATAGAAATAATATATTCACCCGTGAATGACCACCGCGCAACCGGATGTGTTGAACGTACCATTGGCAGCCTGAAAAACTTTGTTTTAACTTACGCAAAAGAAAAAGATAGCGGAAAGTTAGAATCAATGATAGAACGAGCCTTGAGTGCTCTGAGATTTGCTCCGAATGCTACTCTCAAAATATCGCCGTTTGAAGCTCATCACGGCAGGGAAGCAAATACGGTCCTTCGGAATCTCACGAAAAAGCCAACCTTGCAAAATCTAAATTGGGACAGAGTGTTGAAACAAAAATCTGCCTATTTAGATTCTACTGACCCACGAAATCAGAAGATTCCCCAACCTATGGCAACTGATTGGGAGGAACGGTCTGACGTTGAGTATGACGTCGAACACATGAACCACCCTAGACGACTGGCACAAGAGCAACTAGTTTCGGCGGCGGATGGAACATCAATGGTTGGCGTGAAACAGGCCTTGGGGGGCAAGTCCATACAGCCGAGCAAACGGACGGAGCTCTTGTTCCAACGACTTAAGGACAGCAATAAAAGGTATAGACCCATAAATCAGAAAGTAGTTAGCGAATCTAAGCATACTCTAATCTTAGCAAATGGCTCTGTACTTAGGAAAAGTGGAGTTGCTGAGAAAATCCTCAAGCCCAACGCGCCGAAAATTGCGAGCAAACTAACACTACCACCCCCAGCCATGAGTTCGCTGAAACGTCAGGCGGAATTGAAACGAGCGCTAAACGAGCAGGCGGCGGGGACAAGCACACAGAGTACAGCCGAGAATAGAACGCGAGAAATTTCACCAGCGGAGGAGGCAGACTCGGATTCGGAGTACGAGCCAATAACGATTTCACGATACGCAGGGAAACCAACAGCTGCATCCGATCGGGGCGTGGAATTGAATGCATCAAAGGTGTTTAAAGATGCAGAGGGCGTAGCGGAAAAACCCAACTCATCCGAAGGAAGCGGCATTCCAACATCCAAGGGAGTGGACACGGAGGTCCAAACCATGAGTACCGAACAAGGGGGAAGTGCCCCGAATTTGAGCAACGAAGGACAGGGGGAAAAACAAACCAAGAAGAAAGGGGAGCGAGGGCGACGTCTACGTCTCGTATCATATTCTAGCCAGGAATCAGAAGATCAAGATGGGACAGGATCAAGGAAGAGTACCAGAAAGCGGACGGCGGTATCCAAATTCGGTGGGGTTATGATAGACAGCATATTCAAAACGAGAACAACCAAAGGAGAGGAAGACAGAGAGCGGGACACGAATTAAGCAGGAAGATAAACTTGAAAGATGGAGTGAAAGGAAATGAAAGAAAAACTATTTAAACTGAAAACTTACGCCCAGGGAGAGGGTGGACCACTGCGGGTCTAAAACTCAAACATTTATCCCAACGCTTGTTTAAAAAAATGATCGTTGAGGGAATGTCATATATATGATTCCTATTATCTAACTATATATTACGTTGTTTGGCGCCATTGGTTTTGGCCATGTGTTTGGTGCGGCTAACAATTAATTAGTACCTGCCAATCTTAGTTAAGTCTGTGTGTGTTTTGAGTTATTGTTGCTAACCGTTAAGACTAAAATCAGTCAGTCTAAATTCGGCGAATTTACGATATTGAATATACATTTTTCACAGAAGAGTAAGCTTTCTAGAGGAATGCTTGCGGATTTAGTGTATTTGTCAATTTTATAGTTTGCCATATGTCATTTTATAGTTCTGAATTGATTACCACACTGCAGTAATTTGTAAAAGCAATAATTTTATGGAAAAAATGCATTGCTTCAAAAAGAAAAAAAATCAGAACTTCAAGTTCCAAAAAAATACTCAAAAAATTTCCGATCGATAGTGCCCGCCTCCCTGTTGATGATCCTAGATATTCTCCGAGTTAATTGGGATGAACTGAGAGGCACTAAAATTCAAAAAAAACTAGAAACAGATTTGATTACTTTGTTTTTGATAACTTTGATTTTGTCAGAAACTATGTCATCATAATTCCAAATCAAAAATGCAACTAAACGCTAAAAAGCTTCTGAAAAACTTTAAAAAGTCAATGAGTTAATTTTAAGGCATATATAGAGTACCGAAACTAACCGTGAAGTCTATGCAACATGTTGAAATCTCGACTTATCAGTGTTTTTCGATAATTCGGACTGTTTTTGTATTTTTGGCAATCACTTTATATCCAACCCTTTCTGGGTACTAAGAACACAAAATTGTATTATGGAGGTTTCCATCGATATATACTAAATGAAAAACAAAAAGTTTTAATTAACCAGATTGGTCCTAGAAAACTTGGGTCAATGCCCTTTTTTCGTGAATATCGTTGATTTTAGAGTTTATGTCATCACAGTTCTTATCAGAACTTCAAACCAAGTGTTATTAGGCGTGAAAAGAGTTCAATAGAGTCCGTGCTCTTATTTTTAGGCGATTCGTGGGTACGAAAACTCCTCGTGAAGACTGTGTAGCCGACCTGATCTGTGAAACTTCTAGTTTTGACTCCATTTTGGACTGTTTTTGATAAAAAAAGAATTTCTTTAGTGAGTTTTTTTGAGCTTATTAAGTCAGTACTCATCAATTTTGAGCCATTTCAATGTATTAGTTTCATATTTTTGTAAATCCTAACTATACAGAATAATTGATCTAAGCCCAATTTTTTCCAAAATGTAAATTGTCACATCATTTTTGCTGTTTTTCACTCTAAAGGTATTGCGTTTGTATTTTTATGTGCAATGGAGCTTAAAACAGCAAATACGAGCCTCTTAGCACAAGTTGACTGACTAAACTTAACCCTGGCCCAAAATATAGGTTTTTGGTGTTTTTTTTGGCGATTTCTGTTTTTTTTTGGTGACTTCCGGGGAAAATGGAGTTAGCCTTAACCAAGAGTCTTTCCCGATAGATCGTCGAGTTTTTTCTTTGATGTAGAGTCTTTCCGACGAGTCTTTTTCGATACATGGCTCCCCTAATCTGTGTCATTACACAAGGCACATCAGTTGAAATTAATCGAGGAGAATACTCAGATTGGAGAATAAAATCATACCAAGTATCACGTAGAAAAGAATATGCCGAAAACCCCAGGACGTAACTTAAGGACGGGTCGATGGTACACCCTTCGCCGGAGAATCGAATCCAGATTTGTCAAAGGCAGCGGTTGAAGATAGGAAACAACCCTGTTGCCACAAAGGACTGCGCCAAAATCGACCCTCTTCGATAGGAGTCGGTGACATAAGAATGCACTAATCACGGTTCCAATTGCCTGATGGACTGAATTCACCACCTACTCCTCGAGACTATTCATAATTCAACGTGTCTGCCAGAGATTATCGCAGAAATCAGACATGAAAAACACTATTGCACGCTCTAGCCTTTTAGAACGGAAAAAAAACAAAAATTCGGGAGCAAATTCACTTTCGAAACTAAGAATCGATCACGTTTTCTTGCGTCATTTTCACTATAGTAATCGAAGCGCCCAATTTCCCTACCTTTTAGCAAAAGAATTTGAGTCGCACTTAAGCGCACATAAACCTAAGTTTGATGCATTTCTGTAATTATTAGAGCATTTTTAACTCTTTCCTGATAAGAAAAAATAAGAAAAAATCATTACGACCTAAATTAAAGAAAGTAACTTCGCTCTTCTACACTTAAGCAATTTACAATTTATGAAGCCATTTACTTCATTTGACTTTTCTTGCATCAAGACAAATTCGCCTGGGGAAAAAGTGAATTTTTGGAACAAACTTATTTTTGGAAAACGTCTTTGATCTTTTCGTCAGCAATTTGCAAAGAAACCTTTAGAAAAAGTAGGAAGAAAAACTTGAGACAGGTACTCATTGCAGATGGTTTCCATTCAATCATTACGAAAAAAAACGCCTGAACAGTTATGCCATGAATAAAAACAATCGGTAACATAGTCACTGAAAACAATGAGAAAAAAAAAACGAAAAATAAGTCCGTTATACATGGCTATTTAAGAAAACAGATTTGTTATCTACGAATTCACTACTCGTATATAAATTTTTCTCCAAGGTTTTCAGAATTTGCAGGTCTTATTTTCACTGCGAAGCATTTGCTTGTCTGTTTCAATTACAAGCAAATGAGAAAACATACATATCATGTTTTTGCTGCAACTTGACATCTATAATCTACGACCAGTTAGATAATAACATTGCATTTAAAACTACTTGTACTGAAACATTGTCATCATAACCATTTGCTCTTTAAAGGTAGAAAAATAGTCTTTTTGAAAGGAAAAAAATAAATAAAAAGGTAGTAAAGTCAGCAAAGGAATTACATTCTCACATAACAGAAGATTACGTAAGAGGTCACAAGCGGTGCATTGATTCTGACTGCATTCCGACATATATTGACAAATAGAGTAATTAACACACAAAAATAGAAATATTCTGCTTTGATTGCGACAATGTATGTTCTGAACGGCTGATACATGCTGAATTGTTTGTTTGTGCGACGTTTCGTCTGCTTCCAATCTGAAGACTGATTTGTTTCTTCACAATTTCGCTCCAACAATCAGCTACCTTAAAGATTAGGGTTGAACGGTGAACGGCTGGTGTTGAACTTGAACTTGTTAGGAGGAACTGCCACTTCGAAGGGGTTCTTGTCGGCGGTTGGTTAGCTAGATGTCTAGAAGTTTATATATAAAATTCGAATAGAATAGGATTCCAGATTTTTAAAGTGTTAAATTCACATAAGAAATAATCTCTTCTCTTTTACTTATTGTTTCTCTCATTCGCAGCTGCATCAAACAATAAGAGGTTTCTGTAGAAATAGTCTGGTGCCAGAGCCGTCTGTGTAAATGGGGGAGATGTGGTAGTGTTCTATGATCTGGTCGAGGTTCTCGAAAGTTTTGCTCCCTATGAGCAGCATGTTGTCCATGGGCTGCAGCTGCACGTGGAAGTGGCGGTTCTTCGGCTGCGCTTTCAGCGAAATAGAATAATCGCCAGGCTGAAACATAGGCATATTAACATAGTCAAGAAATAGTTGCTCTTACGAATATTTTTCCATCTCACGAATAATTTTCCATCTCTCAAAAATTATAGAACGAACTGGATTACTCAAAACTCTTTAAAGTTCAAGAAACGATATATTATTGTTATTTTTAAATTAAACTAACTCAGTTTGAGATCACGGATCTACTACTCCGATGGTAATCCTGAAAAAAAAATCCACTCCAAGCAATAGAAATGGAAAATGAAACCAAAAAAAGAATAAAAAACTGAGCGCAACTAACACGATCTCCAGCAAAACTATACAACAACCACATGACTGGAATCAGCAAAAACCCGCTTTGACAAATAAAAATTTAAAAAAATTAACATTTGACGGCAGAAAGATTAATTTAGGTCTCTGTGATCCAAGAGGATCGATGAAAGGCTGTCAAACCTGGCTAAGCATAGTCAGTTTCTATTATTTCTCTGCATTCCAGATTAAGCCATTTTGTTGAGCGTAGCTCTTTTTTTTTACCTTTTGTTCCTCTAGAAATTGCATATGAAAGTATATGACCAAAAAAACGTATATCTGTCTTAAAACTTGTTGAACCTACTATGATACTTATTTAGTTTTTTTCTTCAAAAACTATTCAAGTGACTTTCGCATAATTGCCAATTTAAAATCGATTGCCAAAAGAATTGCTAAACAAACTTTACTATAACTATTCAGGCAAAAATGAGGATCAAGTTAGCATCCTCCCCCCCTAAGAGACCAAGTTAAGATCCTCCATCCCAGCGCTTAAATTTTATAAAATTTGCTAAGCGCTGCATGTTAAATGCTCGATTCTGATTGGCTGAAAATTCCCAAGTTAGAACCAAGTTAACATCCTCCCCCCTAAACGTGTTTAGGGGGGAGGATGTTAACTTGGTCCAAAAATGAAAGCAATTTTTTCATCATCACTTTTTTGTCTTAAACCATGGCCCAATTTGAGATACACTTTTCCATTTTTAATCGAACTGTCCGGTAAATCTGAATCAGCTTTAATTATTTGCGAAATATTTACTTTCGCATCACGCTAGTTATCCAGGCCAAAAGATTCTGCTAGCAGCAGAATTTGCAAATTCAGCTTATAGAGCCGAACAATTTATAGAGCAAACTTTCAATTATATGGAAACATTTTTCGCTTTTCCGCAAAAATCTTTTTCAAAATCATGAAATGAATGCTTCAATTATATTTCTCAGAAGTACCAAATGGCATCTATGCTCTTAATTGACTGAATTTTCAACAAGAACTGACCAAAGCTTCATCTCTCAGAAATACAAAAAACTCATCTATCCGCAATTCTTCCAATCTACTATTTTGCTTTCTGATAGTGTTCTGTTCATTCTACAAGTTGACTTTTTTCTTGTAAAGCAATAAAAACGGTAATTTTTTGTAATATACGCAGGATTGATAAAAATTCTCATAGCGCAGAAAACAGCAGAACTTTTTTGTATAAAGCAGCAGAATTTGCTCTATACAGAAGCAGAATTCTTCAAGGCCTGCTAGTTATCAGTGAAACGTCCAGAGTAAGCAAGCACTAAGTGAGTATTGAGACTTTCATGCGCAAAAACGAGATAAATAATTTGATTGGTCAATTTGGTCAGCTATCCTCGCAGAAAAATATTGATTAGCATTAAAAAATTGAGCACGTCACAGCCATACACGGGTCCTTAATTCAGTACACATGTGCAATTAATGTATCGAATCCGCAAGTTTTTTTGTATAATTAATTCTTGCCTGAAAAAAACAATACCTGCTGTCAATTGCAAGTGAAAAGATGGCAACTGAAATACTTACACAAGATTCACTCTCTCGCACAATGAAATCTCCATAATCTCCCACTTCCTCGAACAGTTTCTCACAATCATTCCTCGTTATCCTCCCATAGTACCAATCTCTGTCCTTATACGGACCTCCAGCTCCCTTCATGCTCTCCTGTTTGATCGAATTTACAATACTGTTCGATGCATTAGCCGCTACAGGTGATCGTGCACCTGCCATACCCGAATTATTACTCCGCATCATTGCTGAGTTCGCGACTGCGGCCGCTGATCCACCTGAGTTCGGACGCCTGAAGATCGGTTTCGAATCCGCGACCTGTTTGACAAACTTCTTCGGAATGAGACCCATCAATCCTTGGCTGTTCCGCGCTTGCCACCAATCTTGATCACTCGTCGGCTCTCCGATTACGTCAAGCCTTTCATCTTGTTCAAACGTCAATTCGTTCAAATCTTGCGCCTGGAATCTGTACAACGCAACGACACCAAACAGGAATGCACTATCTACCTTCGAGTCTCCGGCGGGTTTGCCTAGACTTCCAGTGTTGTCTCTTCCACCACCCAGATTAGACGTTGACTGGTTATGTTCATGATTCGAGCTCGAATTCAAATTAGAGTCAAAGGGCTGCGAGGAACTGGCTTGATTGGATTGAGGTGATGCTGATGCATTTAATGCTGCAGCGGTGGTGTTTACATTCAAATAATTAGACGGAATCCAGCCTGTTTTCCCGTTACAGAACACCTGCCACCAACCATCGGTGGACTTCTGAAGAACTGTAACTTGGTCGCCTTTCGATAAATTCAGTTCATCCGCTTGAACAGCTTGGTAGTTGTAAATAGCAATAGCGGTTTCTGGATTCGAACTTAATGCTGAGGGTGACAATCCACTGCTGCCTAATGGGGAATCCAGTTTACTGGCAGCTAGCGGCGATGCTCCAAATGAAACTGGATTTTGACTCATTGTATACCCATTGAAAGTTCCGTTTTCGTCTCTGTTATAACCATTCGATCCACTTCCTCCAATGGGTTGTAAATAATTGAAACTCATGGCTCCGTTTGAACTAAGTCCGGGCTGGTTACCTCCTTGGGGAGTTTTGGAAATATTTGAATTTGAATTGTTCTTTTTGCTTTTGTCTTTGCCGAGAATCTTCTTGAAAAAGCTTGAGGATTTTTTGGAACCCCTCGAAGACCCGCCAAATTTTGAAGATTCTTCTGAGGCAATAATTTCGACGTGGTTTGACGGCACTTTACCGATTTTGTTAGCACCATTTTGGACTCGCCACCAATCACCCGTTGAGTCCATCACTACCAATTTTTCTCCTTTCTTTATAGACAATTCAGCCGATTCCGTTGCCGCGTAGTTGAACTTCGCCACAACATACGTAGGCTCTTGCACAGGTACTGGGTTCTGGATTCTTGAGTTTCCACCTGTGTTTGGGGTAAAAGTAAACCCTCCTGAAGCAGTCATTCGCTGTTCTGCCGATGACATCCCGTTCATATCTGGGGATCCCTGGAACATCTGACGTGAATTCTGGTGAGAACCATTGTAGTTCAAAGATGACGTTAATGCTGCCGACATTTGCTCCGAGGGCTCTTTGCTATTTAATTCTAATTGGGATTTGGTCTTTTTGTTCTTTTGGGATGACACCGAGCTAGATCTGCTGCGTTGATTAATAGAACTGTTGCTATTTTCGTTGAAGGATAATTTTCGCGTGATTTCTCCGGGATAACTCTGTTCATTTAATTGATTTTTCTTCGTCAAAGTAGAAAACGGCGAAGATGGTTCGTCTCCATCCCAGTATGGAAGTTTTGTCTTTTGACCTTTAGAATTGGAACCAAAACACTGAAAAACGGAACAAGACATAATCAAATTGAGGTACTGCTCAATGCTTTATAATATGAAGACACAATTATTCCGCAGTTATCATCAATAATAGTGCAGGGTTCAAGAAATTGGGTTCACCCGCTGCCATAAATATAGTCGCTATCTATTCTTTCATGTGTATAATCGAGAACTTTGCTATGATCAAAAGTGAGTATTTAGGTCGCCAGCACTAAACACAGCGTTCGCTAGGGCACCTCGCATCTGAAGTTTAGATATTCGCAACTGACATTTAACGTTCTTCTTCAAAATTCAGTTTGTACACAGAGCTTAGCTGGGAAAATATTTGCCAAAGTAAAGCCTCCAAAAGATCAATCAAAGCTTGATTAAATTTGACAACAAAATTTAGGAGAGTTCATACAGGCCATGGACCCCATTCAAGGTACGATCAGTTAGCGAAACAAAGGCTTTTAAACAAAAGAAAAATCGACACCTTGACTCAGGTCGGAAACAAATATAACTAATAACAATGGTAGTATAAGCGTGATATAAAAGACCGTTTCTTCAGCTAAATTGTCAAAACTAATCCTTGCGAATGAACTTATCGACGCATTTCTTCTCTTTTAGTACAGTTAGGTTGGCAATTAAGGCATGACTTTCAGTGTAGACCTGCCATATTAACACACAAAATGCCCTCAATGGAACCTAATTCACTACAACACTATTCGGTTTGTGCCATTCAACTTACAGACTTAACGCTTTAAGTTTTCTCTTCTCAACTAGCTAAACTTTGCGAATGCTACATATAACGATCCATTCATGTACAATTGGTAGCACCGAAGGATTTGAGAAGTCTTTGTAGAACTTAGCAAAGGGGGTAAGTAAACAAACCAACAATATCACAAACTCACCGGGCTTTGCGCCAATGATTTATAGTGTTTCAAAGATGAAATACTTCCCATGTCAAACACTAACAAAACGGAACTTTCAGACAGTTTCGCTTAACGAAATCAACGAAACAAAACAAAATCAACAGAATGTAAGCAATGAAACCCTTATTGCTTTGCGGCCACCAAAGAAGACAGAAATTAGCCGTTGAACTAATTCAAAACGGAGAATATTATACCTAAAAATCAATGAATAATATGCTTCGATTCACATTGACTATTGACACCAGAATTTCAATTGACGGACAACTAGAGGAGCTCACTCAATAAGCTCAAACATGAGCTTAAATATATGCTTCCGACCAGTTCTTTCTCCCAAAAAAAATAGGAGTTGTCCATCGTTTTAGAGGGCTAACTCAAGCTTCAAATCAGCTTAATAAGGAATAAATCGATGTTTAGTATTTACTTGAGCGTAATTTCCGGCGGGCGTGAACAACTCTTCGCAACGTTGTGAAAAATTTTTATTACAAATACTTATCACGATTAAGGGTGCTTTAGCATAATATATCATTCGAGCTTGCATAACGTTCTTAGAGTTACAAAGTCTGTTAGAAAGCCGACGGCAAACAAAAAATTTGAAGAATTTAAGCAAATCCTTAAACTGAGAGGCGGAGCTGAGCATAGATTACATGCGCTAAATAATTTAAGTGAGCAAAATCCCAGAAAATTGAATAAAATTAAGGTGAAAATTTATCACGAGCTATGGTCAGTAGCAGATTTAGGGGAGGGGGACGCTCCCCCGTCGGGGATTTGACCCCTGACCACCCAAAGTTTCCCACTTTGCTACTATTTTGGGACACCCATTTTTGGCTAACGGATCTACAATTTTACTACGCTTTAGGCGCCAATATACACTATTTTTGAGGGGGAATCGCGCACCGAAAAGGGTGACCGCTCGCCGAAAAACGCATTTTTTAGTCAAAACCTTCCCGAAAACTTCGTTGGCCTGTTTTTCAAACATTCGCAGAAAATTTGGTGATAAAACAGTCTTTGTAGAGCTCGAAAAATCAATTTGGTCGACCTACAAAAAAGTCGACAAAATTTTCAAAAAATCAAAACTCGAAGCAAATACGAACAAGACTGCTCGTATCAGGGCGAAGCCCTGAATGTTCCGACTACCTTTTAAGAATTATGGAGCAGCAGTAATAACATAAAAAATTAAAAGAAATAAAATGAAAGGAAAATTTTTTTTTCTAAAATTTGAAATTTTTTATGAAAATCATCCCCCACTCGCCATATAAAGTACAAAAAGATAGATTTCGTTCCTTTTAACAAATCAATTATGGCACATAAGCTTCGTTCAACCAATTTTAAACGATTTTATAAGGCGGATTAAATCTCCGCTTACGTGTTAATAGCGCCAGTTATATCGCGCGTTAATTGTCCCAAATTGGTCAAAATGGCCAAAATGGCAATCTTTAAACCCTCACAACTTTACGAAAAAGGATCACAGGTGAAATATCTTTTCAATTTTAAGCTCAGGATAACAATACCTTTTGAATGATAAAAAAAATTCCGTCAAAAATGGCTAGTTAAAACCTTCCCGAAAACTTCGTTGGCCTGTTTTTCAAACATTCGCAGAAAATTTGGTGATAAAACAGTCTTTGTAGAGCTCGAAAAATCAATTTGGTCGACCTACAAAAAAGGTCGACAAAATTTTCAAAAAATCAAAACTCGAAGCAAATACGAACAAGACTGCTCGTATCAGGGCGGAGCCCTGAATGTTCCGACTACCTTTTAAGAATTATGGAGCAGCAGTAATAACATAAAAAATTAAAAGAAATAAAATGAAAGGAAAATTTTTTTTTCTAAAATTTGAAATTTTTTATGAAAATCATCCCCCACACGCCATATAAAGTACAAAAAGATAGATTTCGTTCCTTTTAACAAATCAATTATGGCACATAAGCTTCGTTCAACCAATTTTAAACGATTTATAAGGCGGATTAAATCTCCGCTTACGTGTTAATAGCGCGAATTATATCGCGCGTTAATTGTCCCAAATTGGTCAAAATGGCCAAAATGGCAATCTTTAAACCCTCACAACTTTACGAAAAAGGATCACAGGTGAAATATCTTTTCAATTTTAAGCTCAGGATAACAATACCTTTTGAATGATAAAAAAAATTCCGTCAAAAATGGCTAGTTAAAAAGTCCAAATTTGTCTGAAGAAAAAATAAACCCCACCCCGAGCACAAATATTCCGTTACTTTCGTATCGAAAGTCAGAACAAAAAAGCTCAAAAAGCAAAAATTTGGGCATACTATGGGTTTGGAGTCCAGAGCAACTCATTAAAAGTCTTTTGCCTTCAGCAGTGCTCCATGCATACTTAGTATACCAATAAGACAACCACCATTGAGTGCGCTTAATTTGAGCGGATATATGCTACAATTCCATATAAGGTTATTGTAAAAACATTGACCAAAACAACTTATAACTAATCCAAATTGAGAAAACTAGACAACGAGGTAATTTATCTACTCCAATGGTTGAATCTTAAAATAAACATCCAACAGATGCTTTCCAATAAGTAAACTAGTTTGAATTGAACATGAAATTCGACACTTGCCATACAAAACAAGAAAGCCGCTAGGTCGAGAAAAAATTCGAAAAAACTAAGTCTGTGAAATTGAAACAGGCTAATTTTTTTAAACAAAAAAAAATCCAAGACAAAAAAATCCGACACTAGTATCGGAGGAAAATTTACCAAACAGTAACAAAGCCGAAAATAAATTAGCAAAAAGCTTCCAAAAAAATCGTCAGACCTCTTAAACAAAAATAATTTTGGCATTCTTAATCGGAGGCCAAATATGCAAACCCTGAGATAACTCTGACAGCCCCCCAACTCTGACAGCCCCCCATCTAAGTTTTCTGAAAAAATTTGAAAAAAAAATCCAAAAAACGTCATATCTCAAAAAATACAAGCATTTGAGCAACCATAATTAAAGGCAAGATTCGCAACCCCTGAGAGTACCCTCACAATGTCCAAAAATAGGATTGAGATTTTCAACCTTTTGGAAATTTTTAAAACCTAAGTTTTCGAAAAACTTTTGAAAAAATCATAAAAAAACGTCATATCTCGAAAACTACAAGGATTTGAGAAGTGAGAATTGATTCGCAAGATTTGCAACCCCTGAGAGTACCCTGACAGCAAACAACTACAGGGTGAGAATGTGAAAAAATTTTAAAACTAAATTTTCTAGAAATTTTTTTAAAAAAACTCGAAAATTGCCTATCTCGTAAACTAAAAGCATGTGGTTATTCATATACAGAGGCCAGAATCGCAAAACCTGGAAAAACTCTGACAATATCCTACTATTGGTTTGCAAATTTCAAACTTGGAATAAACACTGAATTTAAACTGGAAAATCGAAAAAAAACCTTAACCATTGCAATATAGCTTAAACGTGAAAAAATTCATTTGTTAAACATGCAAAAGTAATACGTTGAAAAAAGCTTAAAAACACGGCGAGATAGTGAAGCCCGCATTTAAATAGAGAATAATAGATAGATGATAGACAGATAAAAGATGAAAAATAAAAAAATTAGTCGATGGGTAGACAGACATAATCAAATTAACTAAAAACGCACGTATACAGACAGACAGACTTAATATGGCCTCGAAAAAAATACTGAAACATTAATGACCTTGCGAGAAATTAATTGAAAAATTTTCTTAAGCATTGCAATATATGATATAGTTTAAACATGAAAAAATTCGTCGTTAAACATGCAAAATTATTATGCTTAAACATGGGAGATAGCTGTCACTCGCATTTAAATATAGTATAGATAGATAGTATAGATAGATAGATATAGATAGATATAAATAGATAGATAGATAGATATAAATAGATAGATAGATAGATAGATAGATAGATAGATAGATAGATAGATAGATAGATAGATAGATAGATAGATAGATAGATAGATAGATATAGATAGATAGATAGATAGATAGATAGATAGATAGATAGATAGATAGATAGATATGGATTATGAAATGACTTAACGACGGTCAAAGTCAAGTTCAGCTAAAATGATTGAGCTAAGAATGTCTTAAATTGAGGTGCTGTGATATAGATTCAGTTTTTAGACTTATCTTGCATAACGTTGCAGAACGGAAGTCGTAGCTAAGTGAATTCACGTTTACGCAAACATTTTTTACCAGCCCAGAGAATAGCATACCACATGGCGCAACAAGCAGGATTAGTAAATCAAGAAAACCAAGCAAACCAAGACAATTTAGGCTCCATCATGGCTGAAAAAAAATAAGGTTGAAAGAATTCATAATGGCAGATGGCAGCGAAAGAAAAAGCAAATGTCGATCCCACATAACGCTGAAGCCAGTGATTCTGGAACCGCTAACAGAATCGGCGACAGCAGAAGCAACAAAATAGAAAAAGACCGAATCATGAAAGGAAAATAGAGGCTAGAACCTGAAGAGAACGAGAAGGGGACCAGAGGTGGTACACCACGTGTACTATGCAGAAATTCAACAGAAGTTAGAATCACGACTGTTGCTATCTCTGAGGTCTCATCAGGAAAGAAAAGATAGCCTCAAAAAATGACGATGAAACGTCTAATCAAACATTGACAGACTTAAACAATATTATTACGTCAACGCTCGAGAAGGTGAAGAGCGGGCCTTATGAAAGACACAAGTTGTTCACGCGCGCACAGGAACCAAATGAGACATCGGGAACCTTCCAAGCAGCGTTGACTGCTCAAGCGGCACGATCAGAATTTGGAGCACTTAAAGATGAGTTGTTAAGAGATTTA